AGAGAGAGGAGGGACAAAAAGAAATTAATACATGAGGGTTGTTGCAGAGTCCAGGTGCCACTGAACTGAGTATGAATAATCATAACTCTATGAACAACAGATATGAACCCTGTCTTACATCATTCTCGTGATCTTTGACACACTTGAGCCATTGCTGCAGTTACTAGTCAATCTATCTCATTGAGAGTCTCTCCTACCTTCTCTGACCTTCCATCTTTCTAAGCATGATGTCTCTTCCTAAGGAATAGCCTCTCCTAGAAACATACCCAAGTATGTGAGACAAAGCTCTGCCATCATTGGCTCCAAAAAGCACTATTCCTGCACTATTTCCAAGACCTATTTGTGCCTTATATTGGCAGTTCATGGGATATGTATATGTATCTGAAAGTTAGATAATGACTAAGGATGACAGAAGAATCGATGTCTTTGGCAGTGCTGAAGAATAGTATTGAGCATACCATGAACAGTCAAGAGAACAAATAGGTCTGTCCTAGAGAAGACAAAAACAGGTTGCTCATTAGGCAAGGATTTTGAAACTCCGTCTCACATATTTTGCACATGTGGTCAGGAGGGTCAGCCCTTCAAGAAGGACATTATATTTGGAAGGGTAGAGGGATAGTGCAGAATGAGATGGATTGACACAGTATCTGTGGCAAAGAGGTGAGTTATGTCAGACTTAGTGAGATTGGCTCAGGATAGGGCAAGGTTCAGAGCTATTGTTCATAGGGTCGCTATGGGTTGAGAGCACATAACATCATCAACAGGTGCATAATTCTTTTCTAATTCTGGTCTATATATTTCCAACTCTTTTCTATATGGTTAAATACGAATATTGTTGCTGTTGTTGTCAGGTGAACAAGATGAAATTATTGACAGTTTCAAGACTTTCTCCATCTTTCATGGGGTTGCCTATTGGCCCAGTGGTATGGACCTTTGTTTTCTTGAAGCTGAGATGTAATCTAAACTGAAATCTGTAGTTCTTGATCTCTGCTGCAAGCAGTTCAAGTTTTCTTCATTATCAGCTAACAAGACTGTAGTATCATCTGTATAACAATTTGTTGATGAGTCTTCCTCTTATTATGATGCCATGTTCTTCTTCATAGATTCCCTTCAGGAATTATTTGTTCAACTGATTATAGTGTTAATTTGAATAGGGATGGTGAAAGGATACATCTTTGATGCACACTTTTCCTAATTTTAAAGCACTCAGTGTTTCCTTGCTCCTTTTAGATAACAGTTTCATGGTGTAGGTATAGATTTCACTAGAACTCAATTAAATTTTCTAGGATTCCAATTCTTAATATTAATCAGTTTGTTATAATCTATCCAGTCAAATGCCTTTCCATAGTCAATAAGTCACAAATAGACATTATTCTGGTATTCTTGCTTTCTGGCAGGATCCATCTGAGATCAACAAGGGTATTCCTGGTGGCACAGCCTGTCTAAACCCAGTTTAAACTTCCTTAAATTCCCTGTCAATGTACTTTGGCAACATATATGGATCTATTCCAGTAAGTCTGCCAGTCCTCCAAATTTTTTTGGCATAGACTAGTGGGCACATTCAGGGTTCCATTTGTTAGTTCAAATATGTCAGCTGGTATCCCATCAACTTTGGGCTCTTAATTTTTTGCAATGTTTTCAATGAAGCTTGATCTTCTTCCTTTATTACCTTTGGCTCTTGTTCATATGGTACTTCCTGAAATTTTTCAGTGTTTATTAATTCTTTCTGATACAATTAGTACCAACAGTGATTTGGAGTTCCTATACTCTCAGTCTCTAAAAGTCCAAATAATATATAAAATTTTATCTTATATTAAATTCCTTCATGAGGCTCTATTTTATAGGGCAACTATTTATCCTAAATATCTTAACCTGGGTTTTTAAAGAAAAAAAATCTCAGCAAAACTTTCTTAGCTATAAATGAAGGATGAGGTAAAATGGAAATATGAGAAGGACAATGAGAATGTGGGTTATGTTCCTAGTGAATATTTGATAGGGAAAAAAGTTTTCACCCAGAAAGATGCTTAAAATATTGTTTCTCAAACATTGCATTTGTAAAGAAAGGGACAAGAAATAAGGAAACAACAACAACAAAAAAAACCATAAAAATTTTATCATTGATTTGATTCCAACTCATAGCTGGCCCTCAGTTTTCAGAGGCTGTAAATTGTGTGAAAGAAAATTGTCCATCTCTTTCTGGAGGAGCAGCTGGTAGACCCCGACTCCTCTGGGTTGGCAGTACAACTTCCTGTCTACTAGGCCACCAGAGCTCCCTATTTAAAAAAGAGGAAGAGAATTTCCCACTAGTTCTAGTTTGCATGAGTCAGAATTCTCCCTACAGTCCTTAACTCACCTTGTCTCTAAATTACACCTACAGAACACTGAACAGAGAGCACCTGGTGTAATTGAAAGGCAATACATGTGACACATGAGATGCTGAGATATATTTTATTTGCACTTTTATGTCTTGACAAAAAATTCACCTAACATAAAATTAACCACATTAAAGCATACAAATCGGTGATACTTGGTATATTTAGAGTGATGTGCAATTATATAAACATTCTTTTTCTTCTCATTTTATACAATTTATTTTTCTTCTTTTTGCTTTGTAATTAACTGTACAACTGCAAATAACCAATCTTCATTTTATGGATTATTCTAATGATATGTAGTCTGAGATCAACTAACATTGAAGCTATCTTTTTCAGGCAGGTCCACCAAGACTTCTTAGATACTGTGTCTTGTCTATATGGAAAATAAAATGAAAGTAATTTTCTAGAAATATCTTTTACAGTAAAAGCAAAAAATAATGTTAGTGGAGATTTTTGTTTTAGTTTGTTTATTTGTGTCTTCTCTTACTAGTAAGTTAAACATCTTCTCCCATGTAATTTACAGGTCTTGAAATTCCCCTAGAGGGTTACCTATGAGTTGGTTCGGATTCCAAAGCAATGGCTTTGACATTTAATATATAAATATATACTAAATTATGCAAACAGGAATGGGTTAGGGTAAATGCTAGCCATGCTGAACTCTGATTATAGCTGTCGCTTTACATATTTTTTTTATACAATTGATATATCTTTCTAAATAAAAGTCAAAGTTCAATGTTGAGTTCTTAATTGAAATGTAAAATATCTTTAATGCAAGCTATCTGCCTCCTAAAAACAATTGATAGTACCATATCTTTCTTATGGTATTTTTCATCTCCATATTTCTTAGTGTGTAAATCAGAGGGTTGAACATGGGAACAAAGATGGTATAGAAAAGAGCAAACACTTTATCTTCTGGAAAAGTGACAGCTGGCCTAATATAAATAAAGAGGACAGGCACAAAAAACAAGACCACCACTGTTATGTGAGAAGAACATGTTGCAAGAGCTTTGGTACGATTTTCGGCAGGATAAGCACTGATGGTATACAATATCAAAATGTAAGACATCATCAAAATCATGAAGGTCATTAAAGCAAGTAGCCCTGAGTTGAGAATGACCAATAAACCAATTTTGTGTGTATTGGTGCATGCCAATTTCAGCAAAGGATACACATCACAGAAATAGTGATCTATCTCATTGGGTCCACAGAAGGGTAAGCAGATGGTGAGAAGAAATTGACTAGAAGAATGTAGAAATCCCCCAGTACAACAAGCTATGACAATTGTGTTACATTTCCGCCTGTTCATGATGACAGGGTAGTGCAGGGGCTTGCAGATGGCCACATAGCGGTCATAGGCCATCCCAGCTAGGATGAAGATCTCAATACCTCCAAGAAAGTGCATGATAAAAAGTTGTGCCATGCAGTTGTTGTAAGAAATGGTCTTCTTTTCTGCCAATAAGTCAGTCATTAGTTTTGGTGTCACTGTGGATGTGTAACAGAGATCAGAGAGAGAAAGGTAATTAAGGAAAAAATACATGGGTTGGTCATTTAGCTGACTGCATGTGATGGAAATTATTATGAGCAAATTTCCCATCCAAATAGCAATATAGCAAAATAAGAATAATATAAAGCAGACAATTTCAATGTTCTTGTTTTGAGAAAGACCCAAGAGAATAAACACAGTGACGTTATTTCGATTTTCCATGTTCTAGCGTAGACCAAATGCATAGCACTAATCTGAAAAGACATAATTTAAAGCCAGAGTCAGAAATAGTAATAGAGGATTCTGCTGATAATGTACGCACTATTAAAAAACTTCTAAATTGGAAACATCACAGTGCTTTAAAAATTGAAAATCTGATATCTGATAAAAAATTTTTTTCTGCTTAGGATTATGCTGGTTTGCTGTCTCTACTAAAAAAAACCAAAAAACAAACCAAACCACTTTATGTCTGAATTAAAACTTCTGAACTAGCAGATAAATCAAAATACATGTACTTGGAGAAATGTTATTGTGCAGGCCAGTGAAACTAGAGATGATAAGATTTTCAAACAAAAGGCCAGAGCTAAGTGTCCAGCTGTTTAATGACTTAATTCTTTTGCACTCTTGTAAATAACAACACTGGAATGTCAAATACAACTTAATATACCAGATTAATGTATATCTATTGTATGATAATGTGGTTTAAGGAGCTCTCATGACATAATAGATTAGACATTAGACTGCTAACTGAAAGGTCCTCAGTTCAAGTCTCCAAGTTATTCCTTCTTCTTGTTGTTGTTGTTATGTGCCGTCGAGTCGCTTGCGACTCACAGTGACCCTATGTACAACAGCCCTAAACTCTGCTCTGTCCTGTGCCAATCACACTGTTTCTGACACTCCCATCCCAATTATCCCAGTCACGGAATCAATCCACCTCCTAGAGGGCCTTCTCCTCCTGTGCTGTCCCTCCACCTTCCCAAGCATGATGTCCTTCTCCAAGGACCGGTCTCTCCTCACAACATGGTCAAAGTATGTTAGATGGAGCCTTGGAATCCTTGCCTTTAAGGAGCAGCCCAGTTTAACCCACTAATCCTGCCTGCTCATATAATATTTACAGCCTTGGAAAATATATGGAGGATGAGGAGTTAATTCTCCTATGCCCCACAGAAGAGCACTGCCTTAAAACAACCTGATGGCAAGTTGGTTTAGATTTTCTAATTTCATGAATTACAATTGGCTATAGACAAGTCATTGAGGTATAAGGCTTCTTAGCTGATCTGCAATTATACCATAAAAATATTTCATAACTTAGAAATAGAAAATATATTTTAATACTTATATCTAAAATAATATTTTAGACAGTTATTTAATTAATTTCTTGTCCATTTGAACCAAGATTAATTTACTAATTATCTGCACAGTTTTTTTTTTAAATTTTTGTTATTCCTTCTCTACCCTTTTCCTGAGAATAAAACAAGAAAATTGTGGCTCATACATAAAACTAAGCCTAGGCAGAAAACAAAGTGCCTAGGTGCTGAGACAATGTCATTAATTCCATTTGTATTTATTGATAGAAAAATCAGTATTCCTACTGATAAATGCATTCTGACACTCCAACAATTTTACTAATTGACTATATGACTCTACAACTTTCTCCATCTCAAGGTAACAGATATATATACATTTTCCTTATTGGATATTTTTCCTTTCATGTCACCTTCTCTCCACAAAGTAATGACTAATTGACCATGCATACATTTTTGCCTATATTTCTTGTTTCTCAATGACTGATTCACCATGTATTCATTTTTGCCTGTATTTCTTGTTTCTCCATAATAATATCAGTTTTAAATTAAGGAGTCCTGGTGACACAACAGTTAAGCCCTGGATTAGGTAATCATAAATTGGTGGTTTGAAATAATTTACAGCTCTAAGGGGGGGGGGGGAAGGCCCAGTGTTCTGCTTTTGTAAAGATTACAGGCTAAGAGAAAAAAAACCTAAGGGGTAGATTTTCTATGTTCTATAAACTTGGTAACTCTGGGGGCCTAATGGATAAAGAGTTGCCTTGCCAACTCAAAGGCAGGTGGTTTGAATCCACAAGCTGCACTGCAGGGGAAAGATATGTGCTCTATCCGTGCAATTTATACACTGTAGAAACCCACTGCAAGATCAGTTATGGGTCAGTTCTGAATTGAAGGCAGTGAGTCAGTGAGGGAGTGAGTGAGAGGTACAATTGTTAGGAGACAAAATCAATTACATTTTCAACAACAATAATTTCATATTCTTTTTCTTCTTAGTGATCACTTTTACATGTGAGTACTACCAAGAATTTCATTTTTGTAGGTATACATTTCCTTTATTTAAACAACAAGCACATTTTCAGTTTAAAATTTAAAAACCAAGGAAGAACTTTAAAAAAAGTAAAACGCTATACAAGCTAACACACTATTGTCAGTTGTTGCTGTTGTTGTGTTCCTGCAAATCAGAACTGACCCACAGCTGACCTTTTAGACCTGCAGCTGACCTTCCAGACCCACAGCTGACCTTCCAGAGGGTTTCAGAGACGATAAAATGTACAGGAAGAGTTTTTACCATCCTTTCCCCGCAGAGCAGCTGCTGGTTCTAAACCAGCCTTTGGGATTGCAGCACAGCTTCTTACCGTTGCTGCCTGGTTGGTTTCAACTCAAAGTAACCGTATATAACAGGGTAGAGTGGTCCTATAGACCAAGACTGTGATCCTTGTGGAAGGCATACTGACACATGTTCCTCCTGTGGCGGAGCTAGTGTATTTGAACTATTACTCTTTTGCAGCCAAATGCAACTGCACCATCAGGACTCTAACAAAAATTTACTAAGCTCACTACTACAGTTGTTGTGAAGTATCACCCAGTCACTCTACCCCACTGCAGCGTCTGTTTCAAGTCGTAGTGACGTGATACTCAAAACTAAACAGAACCCACTGAGTTGATTTACCATGAGTGGATTTCAACTCGTGATAACACTGCTTGGTTTCTGAGGCTGTAAATCTTACTAGAAAGAGACTGCTTATCTTTCTTTCATGTGTCAACACGTCATATTCTACCTCAGCAATGTATCCAATAGAAAAGAGTAAAACTGCTCCGTATCATTGCCAGGGCCGTAAATCTTTACGGAGCCGACTGCAACATCATTCATCACCAAGTGGTTATTGGGTTCAAACTCTTGACGTTTCACTCCAGCACTATAACCACTGAACTACTGTTGTTTTTGTTATGTGCCATCCAGGCATGTAGGGTTCATAGTGACCCCACGAACAACCAGTCTGCACACTGTCTCGTCTCACGCCATTCTCACAATCTCTGATACACTCAAGCCCATTGCCACAGTCGCAATATCAACCCACCTGGTCTAGGCTCTTCCTCTTTTTAGCTGTTTCTCCACCTTCCCAAGCTTGCTGTTCCTCTCCAGAGATAACTCCTCCTTGCAATGTGCCCCCAGCATGTGAGACAAACCTTCATCATCTTCGTCTCAGCCAGGCATCCTCAATATCTTTGAGAGGTAAAAACTAATTGAGACTTTCCTGAGTTATATGTATCCAGAGTTCTTAACTAGCATTTACCAAATTCAAACTCGAAAACAGAAATAGCTGAGTTCAGATCCCGAATTCGTAACTATGAAAGATGTAGAAATGAAACAGGATAGTAAATTTGATGTTAAAATCCCCACCTTTTCATGGTTACTTGATTATTTCATGCAAAATCAGGAACTTTCCTACTTTTTCGGCATTGAGTTATTTCAGTCATCCCAATTTTATGTTTATATGGTAATCAGCTAATAAAACCTATAATTTAAGTCTATAAAATTACAGCTAGTGCTCAAACAAAAACCACAAGCTTTTCTTTTCCCTCTTTCCTACATATGTAGACCTCTTATAAAGAGTAAAAAAAAGTTATAAACCATAAAAATGAACAGAAATTACTGAATCTCTTCCTATGCCACATATGGGTAAAGACTTGTTGTTGTTGTTGTTGTTGTGTACCTCAGATTCCAAACTGACCTATAACTGACCTTCCAGTGGGTTTTCAGAGGCAGTTAGTCACATGGGAGGAGATTGGCCATCCTTCTCCCATGGAGCAGCTGGTGGCCTCGAACCACGTGCCTTCAGGATTGCAGTGTAGCTTCTTGCCATTAGGCCACCAGAGCTCCCTTATGAGTAAAGATATAGGATCCACAAATACATTATTTGCCCTAGAATTGATGCTGTCTCATGGTGACCCTCTGTATGTTTTTTAACATAAGATTTTTAATGACTAAATTTTCAGAAGTGAATTATTAGGCCTTTATTTCAATATAATCCTTCAATAGGAAGATGAGAGAATTAGCTCTTTGCAGAACTCAAGGACTCCACTCTCATCTTATGAGGCATATATTTATCAGTAAACTCACTTTACTAAGGAGAATATTGAGCATAAAGAAAATATATAGCTAATGCAATGTCTAGTGGCAGAGTTAAGATTTAAAACCATAAATATTTCATGTGGTATTAAACATTTAGCAACATGTCTAGTTCAGAGTGCATAACAAAAAAAATGTGTTACTATTATGATTTGAAGCAAATGACTCACTGGCTGAAGGTTTTTATTATAAACTCTATAAATTGTTCATATGCGTGATCCTAAGTTCCATAAGGGCAGATACACTGCTTTTTATTGCTCCTTAAAATATTACAATGTCCTCACAAAATTGAATTTAAATTTTATTTCTACCTCTTCCTGACATATGTGATTTCTGGTCTGTAATATATGCCCCAAAATGATAATTTTTTGATGTGTATGTTGGGAATAAAAACACTGATGTCACATTATTCTTATAAAAATTAGACTAAATAGAGTCTAGAAAAATGATACCTAACCATGTTAGACGTTCAATAAGTACCTATTTCCATTTTTTTTAAAAAAACCTTCTTCTATCCCTTGTTAAATCCCATTAACTTTGCCAACAATCAGCCAATATTTATTGATATATAATATCAACATTTAAAACTGTATGCAAGGATAATACCAAATGAAATAAATTATAATAATTATAAAAAATAAAAATAGGAAGTAAGGTAACTGGAACTGACATATACATAGATTTGAGTTCTGAGGTCCTTTGATTTTTGGTGAAAACAGCAGCTAGTAAGCACATTGGAGAAAGAGTGAGCTATATGCTTCTGCAAAGATGAATGGTGATGGACGTTC